AGAAATCAATGCCCTCGCTCACTTTACCGCGATAAACCGCTAGAAAGATGGCGCCAGTCTTCTGTTCATCGCCACTATTCCTCGAACATGTGATGGTTTCTTTGTAATCTTCCAGTAAAGCGTCAAAGTCTTTGCCAGCGTTGCGTGGTTCGGAGTAGATGGCCTTGAACTGCTCGATCTCGCCCCATAATTTGGTATTTTTCCAACGAGTCGTGAGTTTATTCAGCAGTGAATACGACGGGAAGAACATGAGGATCCCACCGGGTATCGCTTGTGAGTATTGGAGCAGCAGTTGACCCATAGAGTCCTGATATCTAGGGTCCTGCTGGTTGTTGTACGTCGACTGCAAGTCTACATTACCTGGGCCGTGCATCACAGCCCCGATAAACACTTGTTTGCGCATATTCACGACGTGGTTGGCTTCCAGCCGAATGGGGAAGTCCACACCCAGTTCGCCTGCAAAAGACTCCATGGGACTCAACGTACCGGACGTCAGAATAACGCTACGAGCCTGACTCGCAATATCCGAGAAGGCCACGGCCGCAGTCAGACACCAGATGCACATTTTCAGCTCCCATTCGTCGCCTCCATTTCTCTTTGTAGGGGATCGGAAGCTCGCATTCTCCTTCCACGTCGACTTGGACTTGATCACCACCAGTTTGAAGTCGTCAATGAACTTGAGACTATCGCGGAACATGTAGTCGACCACGTTCATGATGCTCTGCACTGTGGCCAACGCCAATGCGCCTAACAGGACAGAAGCACCCGTCGGATTTGCCGCAGCGTCTTGAGTTGCCTGCGTCTGCGGCTGCTGACCGGACTCTGCGCTGTTGCCCAACTCGTTCTCGTACTCTCGCACTTCTTGGACGTTCGCTTTCATCTCTGCCAGATTATCTTTCGTCAGTCCTGAGTATTCTGCCAACATGGCAAGAGCGTCCGCGCCATCCCAGACTTTACTCTTCTCTTCATACCCTGACGGCTGGAGAATAGCGTTGGCGTTCGAGTCCACACTCTGCAACCAGCGGTTGATCCCATTCAGCAACTTGAGCAGCGCGTTGTACGTCTTCGGTCGGTTGCCGTGCTTGATGACGATCGTGAAGGCCTTGATCGACGCCGCCAGTACATCCGTAGTCACCTCCACACTGGCGCTCGATCGACACGTATCTTCCACGTTGTGAGCTTCGTCCAGTACGATAATCGAGTCTTTCAGTGTGATGCCCACCGCCTCCCGGATCGTCGGGTCCAGCAAATAATTGTAAGGAGCGAAGACGATGTTGGCGTGATCCAGAGCGTCACGAGCGTGGAAATACGCACACTCCCGGTGTTTCTGAGCCAGTTTGACGAGGTCCTCAATGTCCCAAACAGGCGGCACAGTTCTCCTTAGGTCGTTCGTCTTCTTGCGCTTTCTAAAGTACGAACAGGACGCGCCTTCGAGTGCCAGTCGACACTTCTCGTCCACCTGTGAAGGATCTTTGTTGACCTTGCGGTTGACGCACATGTTGCGTTTCGAGCCGAGCACACACGTCTGCAGCTGCTTTGTGTACGTGTTGGAGTCTTCGGGCGAGTCCAGATACGATACGGGGCAGTTCTTGAGCTCGTCCACCACTTGAGCCAGTTGCGAGTGGGTACGAGAGCAAAAGAAGATGCGAGGAGGCACCACACGCTTGGTTTTGGGCTTGTCGGGGCCGGGAACATCGAATTGTTCCGCTTTGACCTTGACATCGGCGTCTTTAGCTGCAGAGGCGAAGGATTTGGGCAGAACTCGCTTCTTCTTGGCGATGGCGGAGTCTGTCTCTAGCTCGCGCTTCCTTGTGGTCATCCAGCCGCTGGTATTGGCACTGGGTTGCGTGGGTGCCACGTCGTCCTCGTGTCCTGCTACTTGTGTGGCTTGTGTCTCTTGGGTTGACTGGAAAGTAGACTGGGTAGAGTGTTCTACCTCTTCCTCTCTCAGTTGTCTCGCCTTTCTAGCCTGCTCTACTTGCTGCTGAGCTTCCATGAGCTGCATCTGCGCCTCGATTGCTCTTAATTGGGCCTCCTGAGCTTGTTTCTCAGCCTCCTGCGCTTTGAATTTCGGGTCTTCCTGTTGTTTCTTGAGTGCCGCCACTTTGTCTTTGACAAACTGCTTCTGGAACGTCAGAGACGAGCACAGCAGCGCCAGCGTCTTACCCGAACCGGTCGGAGACTCCAGCAGCGCGTGCTGCTCCGTCTTAAGTGCCGTCAGGACCTTATTCATGACTGCGAACTGCGCTGGGAACGGCCGCTTGCCCTGAGGGAACTCGACGCTGTAGCCCATGATCATAAAGCGGTTCTCCTTCTCACTCATGACGGCTGGATGGCAAAGGATTATGAAATGCAAATTGTTCCCGCCAAAAATAATCGACAGACAAAATGTTACCGTAACATTTTGTTACGAAATCAAGCAAAGTATTGAAGAAAAGTCGAGATGACATTAGATAGCACTAAAAAAAAATATCGGATGATTGAACTACTCTAAACACGACCATCGACGTTGCCGTCCGCTTGTTTGCCGTAGCCGTTGTTGTACTCGTCCGGATAAATCTTTAGCCACGCCTTGTGCAGCGTCTCGTAGTGTTTGGGACGAGTGAGTTGCCACCCGTGCGGATCTTCGGCCCAAAGCACGAAGATGGTGGTCACAGCGCTGGCCACGACGGACATGAAGAGGTTGTTGATACCATAACCCACGAAGAAGCCGAAGAAGGCCACGAACACATGTGGGTGAGAGAACATGGCCAGTCGAGCCGAGTCGGTGCCGTCCACGATCTGTACACCGATGTAAGCGGTCACTGCGCCGATGATAATGTTACCTAGCCAGAACACGTTGCCAGTGAGGTCGTCGTTCACAATGGCACTCCAACCTTTGGCCGCGAACAGCTTGAAGACGTGGCGACTGGCCGTCACGAAGCTGTAGCCATAGCAGCCAACGTAAGAGTAGGCGAAGCGGTTGAAGAACTCGATGCAGCTCTCGATGCACGAAATGATGCATGATAAACACGAGAGCAGACACGCGAGGCAACAGTTGCCGCTGCGGCCGGCCAGCCACGCCAGAATGCGTAGAATGCACACGATCGTCTCCAAAATGGCAACTATAAGGGATCCCAAGCAGATACTTCCGAGGTTCAGTGTCACGGCTCGCAGCCACGCCCCCATCGTGATGAACGGCGTGTTGGTGGCATTCTTCCACGCCGCGACGGTCCCGGCCGTCGTGACGCCGATGATATTGCGCAGTACGAAGGTGGCCCAGAAGTAGATGAGCAGCATACCGCACAGCACGCCAACTATCGCACCCGACTTGTACTTGAGGTCGCAACTCTCGGTCGTGCACGTGTTCTCGAGCTTGATGTAGTCCTGGTGGAACATGATGCCGAGACTGCCGAGCACCCAGAGAATGCCCCAGCCGATCTGTACGCCAACCATGATGAGCGCCACCAAAAGCGTCATTGGCAGTCGGAAGATGGCATGTCCCGCCACTTTCAGATGCGCCGCAGCGAATTTGATCCGCTTGCGGATACAGCACACGTACAGAATCGTGAGCAACGCGAAGAGGCCGAAGACGACGGCCGGCCACCAGTACCAGTCCGAACCGCTGTCGTATGCCTTTTTAGTTAGGAAAATAGCGGCTAAGATATTGAGCACGATGATGGTAATGAGGGCCACCCAGATGAGAAACTCGGCCAGCAGAACCATGACGGCGATCCAGACTACAGACATGCCGGCGGCCGCGAGACCTGCCAGACCGACGATACTCAGCATGAGTTTCACGCCCGAGGACTCGGAGAGGCCCTGGACGTTCGTGGCATCAATGAAGTCGTCGCCGTATTTGGCCGCAAACACGATGGTGACGACCACGACGGCCACGAACGGGATCAAAAAGAAAAAGTCATTGCATTCGCGCTTGACGGGTGGAGCGTTGCTTTCGGTCGGAGGAGCGGACGGTTGAATTGCATGAGGAGACTCGGTTGGCTGTTGATGGTACGGGCTCGCACCGACGACGGGCGACGACATTGCACGTCTAGGAACTGGAAGAAGCTGGTGGATGTAGAGACCAACGAGTCGAAATGAGGAGTGGGCGTCGAAGAAAGCAAAGTGACAAGTACCGACCCCCACAAAGTCGAAACTGATTTTGTATCGGCGGTTGGACACAAACGGAGCAATGATTTTATGCAAGCATGACAGACTTTATTTTTGCGGTAATCACCTTCACCTTGTCGCTGGATACTCTGGCCATAGGCATTGCTGGCTGTGCACAAGTGAACCTATACGGTGAAGCCATTGGATTGCATTCACTTGTACTTCGGCTAGATTTGAATTGATACCTGAAACGCTGTCAATGAGTTGCCTTCCCAGTGAACGTCTTTCACTGGATGCTTAGAATTCGTCTGCATGTCGCCACGTCAGCGCTGTGTGTTGTTCCAAACGAGGGGTGCTGAATACGCGGTTGCAGCCAGCATTGCTGCGAGCAACGGTTTGACTTAGATCCATGTAGCGTCGATGAAGATAATAATACAGAAGTCCTCTGGGAATCGAAATTCGATGCGTCTTGTGAAGAATTCGCAAGAAATCCTAAACACGTTTTTCTAGTTATCGTGTCACAACTTCGTGGGGTCTACGATGCTGGACTTTGCGATTCGTCACACCCATGTTGGTGCTAACAATATCGCAGAATGAGTTCATGAGCTCCGTGTTCTTTCAATGCATGACTGGCTATGCGAATCTCGCGCTCCGCACCTCAAGCACCCTGGACGAAGACACAGACGCCCTTGGAAGCTCCTCTGGAGCTGGTGTTGTCTAAGCTCGGAACACCCCACCTCATTTCCAGGACATGCGGCTCTTTGCCAATAGAGAAGAAGTCGCTGAATGGTTTTGCGGTTCGTCGAGAATTGAGCTAATCGCACAGAGGCACCTTCGCTGCACGCGCTCAGCGGGTGCGTGTCTACATCACAGCACAAGCGGGCATCGTTGCAGCAAGTGATACCGTCACGTGAGCTGATTGCAGTGTGCCATTGATGTCGTTGACATCAAAGCAGACATCACTTCCTGGACCTTACGACCCCGCATTGTTGACGGCCAAGTCTGATCCGCAACTTGCTGCGCAAGAGGTGAAGCTCGTCCTATGTGCGGTCTTCACCGCCGTCTTCACCACCGTCTTCACCACCGTCTTCAGCTCA